GTTTTTCTCCTTTTATCTTTTTTTTTGCTTTTTTTTCATTTTTTCTCTTTTTTTCTCTTTTTTTCTCTTTTTTTCTCTTTTTTTCTCTTTGTTTTCCTTTTTTTCCTTTTTTCTCTTTTTTCCCGTTGTTTTCCCCCCCTTTTCCTCATTTCTTTGCTCTCCTTCTACTGCATCCCTTTTGCATTCCCTTTTGATGCATGCTTTCTTTGCGCATTGCTCTTGCGCCCCTTTGGCCTTTTGTCATATGCACTTCCTGCAAGCTGTTGGTCCGCAGCGCCCTTTTGTTCACTGTTGTCACGTATCCTTACCCTTGCATGCCATTCCTATGCTTTTTTCGCGATTTCACTTCGTTCATCGTACGGCTCTGCGGGTTTGTTGTTTTTTTTGCTTTTTTGGCATTCTACGCCTACTCTGCCGCGCTCTTCGCATTTTTTATCATTTTGTTCTTTATGCTTTTGCATTCGCCTCAAGGCTGTTGTTCGTTCCACGCGCTTATTCCATTGCCTGCATCTTGCACCTGCGCGCGCATCCATATTTTTTTTTCCAATACGTCTCATACTATTTGTAATCTTTGGCGTCAACGCCATTGCGTCCGTTCATGGTTTTGTGATCGCACTCCAGGCTGTTGTGCGTTCCACGCGCTTATTCCATTGCCTGCATCTTGCAACTGCGCGCGAATCCATCTTTTATTTTCCACTACCTCTCATACTATTTGTCATCTTTGGCGTCCACGCTATTGCTTCCCTTCATAGTTTTGCGTTTGCATGCTTGCTGCATCTGGCCTAACCGCACACCATCCGTCTGCGTGCACCGCGTATTCGACGTCGTAGCCGGTCAGACGCGTCGAAAGACGCGGCAGATTGTACCCACGATTCGACGAAGTAGCCGAGTAAGAATTGTGCCGAGGGTAAGAAAGGAGCAGGATTGTCTCTCCGAGCAACGCGGTCGGCTAAAGGCCATTGTCCGAGGACGCAGCCGCGTGTAAGAACGCAGGGAGACATTGTCTCTCCGAGTAAACGCGTCGACCAACGCGATCGGGTACACGGATCGGTCCGCGTGAAGCAGTTCGACGAAGTAGCCGAGTAAAGCGGTTCGATTACGGCGTTCGAGTAAACGATTTGACGCAGTAGCCGCGGGAAGGACGGCGCCCACGACCGCAGGACGAAGAAGGACGAATTGATGTGCTTGTTATTACTGCGGGGTTTTAGGTGTACGCACAGAGAGACACAGTGTGTGACAGGCGTTTAGTGCAGCAGGACGTGGGGCTGTGTTCATGCCGCGTTGCGTGTAGTGTTTTTCCTATTTTTTTGATCTTTCCGGTCTTCCTGTTTTTTTTTGTTTTTTCTCTTCATTTTTGTACTCCTTTTTTTTTCTGTGCAGATTATTGTCTCTCCTAAACAATATCAGAATAGTGTAAACAGTTTGTGTACTGTGCAATTCTGTATTGTGCATTTGCCTTATATGAATTCAGTGTAGGGGTATTCCCCCCACTCATATAGTAATAAGAATATTGATGAGCCCGACGTGTGTATAGCATCTGGGCGGAATATTAATAATGTGCATGATATTCTCAGAGACCATTAGTATCCTGTATTATGAGACGTAATGCACCATGGCACGGCATCTGGTGCATGTAATGGCCGCCTGGGCCCGGAAAAGAGACCTAGGGACACAGAAACAGCTTGATGTAAGTATTAGCTCAGAAAAAGGGATTGCATGACACAGCGAAGAAGGGTGGCGGAAAATAATGTTGGTACATATATGTGCGGTAACACATACGGCAGGGAAGGTAGAGTCTTATAGAGTTTACATATTGTTATACATTAATCATTTTCTCTATGTATATATTTCGTAGAAGGCACTATGGGAAGATATGCAGAATGTGTTAGCACAATTCGTGGATTACATGGAAAACATCGAACAACTCATAGATGCGTATGCAGTCAGCTGTGGGGATGGAGGTTGGGTACTTAGAGGACACGAGCACCACGGAAACATATATAAAGGACAGACAGTTGGGGATGTGATGAAATGCAGCCTGATGCTTGGAGCATTATATGTTGTAACTGGGTGGAGCGATCAGAAGAAGAATGATACGGACCCATCGGCAAATGATACGGCCATGAAGGCTATTATGAGGTGCATCGTGGCCAATGTTTTTATGTATATATTGGCTGAAATACCGTGTGGAAGTCCGTGGAGGGGAGCAGATCAAGCCTGGTTCGTCATGAAGCACATTGCAACGGGAAGCCACGAGAGGTCTAATCCAATTTTCACCGACAGATGTAGGAAAGATATGTATAAGGATACTAACATAGGCACAGCGAACTTACAGGACGCGGTAAACCACTGGTTACAGCAAAGTCCGCGTGTACGTGAAAGGCTAACACAACTACAGACCCACCCAAAATGCAAAATGGATTGGGAAATGTACAAGAACAGTTTGGCACACAGCGGAAACGATGCAGACATTTCCAGTATATTTAAGACGGAAAACGTGCAAACGTTAGTGAAGGAACCGATAAAAGAAGTGCTTACGACAATTAGCAAAAAAGTACATAAGAAGGTGCAGAAGGCGCGCCAGAGGGCAGAGGGTTACGAGGACTCTACGAATAGTGATGTTGACTCTGCGGACGAGGAAGAGGAAGAGCCGCAGAATGCACAAAAGGACATGAAGGAAAGGACAGGTACGAATGCGACTCGTACGAATACGACTAGGGCCCACACTCGTACGAATATAAGGCACGATACGGACATGTCCGCATATGGATGCCGCCACAATGGCAACAATATGCACACGCGGCGGCGACGACGGCAACGCAACGGCCACAACCACGCACAGGGGGAACAACAACGCAACGGCGTCACAAAAGCACAGCAAACGACTTCGTAGCACCACTGCGGCTGAGCGGCGAGCCGCCACCGTAGAATTGCCGAGTGCGCGGGGCTGCGTCACAGTGGTGTGACAGCGGTGCGACGGATAAAGCAGGCGACGTATGGAGCTAAGGCCATGAGGGATGCAGCGGCACGGCGGTCGCGGCGACGAGAGGACGGCAACAAATAAAAGTTGTACTGCTAGCATCCACCACGACCCACTCGACCGAGTTCACCGCACCGTATGGTTGCTGCCGCCTGACCCAATGCACCGAGTGCGCCCCCCTTTGTTCCTGTCTTTGTCCTCTTCTAACAACGTGCGCTCTCTCTAACACCGTCCCGGCCCTACCCTGGCGCCACCTGACCGAACCGTCCCGGCCCCCTTCTTTCTGTACCACTTGTGTCCCTTTTTTTTTTTTATCATCTGCACGGTCTTCTTCCTTTCCTTCTTTCTTTACTTGCAGCAACGGAGACGGCAAAGAACAAGGAGGGCGCATCGTCACCATCAGCAGCAGTAGGAAGGGCAGATCCCGGATCCCCAGATACACCGCTGCCACCACCCGCGGCACCAGCAGGGGACACGGCATCCACGGGGCAAGGACCGGGTCAGGGACCAGGACCCGTACCACAACCCCCACCTGCGGCACCACCCTCGACACCATCATCACCACCAGAGAGTGGAGCATCCGGTACAGGAAGTAATGGCAATGCAGGAACAGGGTCAACGGCAGCACCATCGGGAACACCTCAGACAGAAGGTAAGAAATCAGGGACCGAATGTGTCACTAATATAAATGAAGAGAGCACACATAGTACGTACGCTGGCACGCACACAGTACGTCTGAGTATTTCCTTCACTAACACGGATCCGAAGTCTGGTTGCTCAGGAAGTAGTACCCCAGGTAGTCACACCAATTAGAACAAAAAAGAGAGAGAAAAAAAAAAAGAAGCAACTTTTCCGGACACACCACGGCGAGGAAACCCGGATGCACTGCGCATGACCACCACAACACCGGGTCCGCCGCGCCCGGTAGCGATAGGTCGGCCGCTGCATGTAGACGTAGCCACGTAGACGTCGATGTAGACGTCGACGTCGACAGACGTCGACACACACACTGTGTGTGTTGTGTGTGTTGTGTGTTGTGTGTTGTGTGGCAGAGACACAGTCTTTTCCCCGGGGTGGCACCGTAAGCACCGTTCGCACCGTAGCCAAGCAGCCTAACTTACCTTTTCTGTTATTATTTTTTTCCATTGACACCCTTAGGTAAGGACCCTCCCGCGGTTACACCCCTTGTGAATGAGAAGGGACCAGTGAAAGCACCTGGATCAACATCAGGGGATTCAACACAAACGGATCCTGCATCAGCACCAGCAGCAGGACCAGCAGCAACACCAACAGGCACATCCGGCGACTCCGGTGCACAGGGTACCACGGGTGCTTCAGGTTCACCAGCGCAGGACGGTGAAACGGGTACTATCGGTCCAGCAGGTAAAGATGGTGCAGCGAACCCCGCCGAACCGAAGGCCGTCGATGCAGGACATAGTGACCAACCCCTTCCCTCTGACAGTATGTTCGTCGACAACGTAGATATTAGTAATGCTGACAAGGGGGGCAATGCTACGCCAAAGTCTGGATCTGCATTATCATCCTTCCCAAACTCCGACCCAACGTTCCTACTCAGAATTCCAGACGGAGCCGATAACTTATCAGGATCATATGGACCGCATGCGTCCCCCCTTAATCCACATTATTCCACGGAGCACAAGGATGCAACGCAGGGGACAGAGGATAAAGGGCCCTCCTTCCCCGACCTAACCGCCGACGTCCTTACCGCCACTACTCCCGTCCTGTTGTTCGTCGCTTCCGTTATCGTCGCCCTTCTTGGTTATTCCCTGTGGAAGGTAAGTGCATACGCCAATCAGGGAATGCCGCATGTGCAGGATGTTCATACCTCAGAACATCCCTACGGGCTGCAATATATGATCTTTCTTACCAATATGCCCCTACATCCGCGTTCATTCCTTTTATGCTACCGTGCCCACCCTGCTCTTTACGCCCTTTTTCTGCTTAGTATTTTGCCTACCTCGGACAAAAACGACGACGAACATATCGAACCGTTCGTGACGTGCCGTCACCGCCACTCGACGAAGAAATTCTAGACCATCTACAACGCGGCGAACTGCCGCCACCCGATTACGGGTACACAATGATTAGGGATACGCAACCTCCGTCAACATCCGGTAGAGGCCGCCCCCCACGCGTGCATACGCGCACGATCATCGAGCTACATCTAGAAGTGCTCAACGAATGTGAAGCAACCGAATGGGACAGCGTCAAAGACGACTATTGGCAGATTGTCGTGGAGCAGTTTACGCAGGATTGGATGCGGGATGCAAACGAGTATAGTAGTTCCCCGGCTTCTTCGTCGAATCACGATTCACCAGGGACCAATGTTTCCTCCACCTTCGATCCACCCACCGATTCCAACGGAACGGATCCATGTCCACCACATGACCCCGATCCTTGGAGTTGTATGGAAACCATACAGTTAGCAACGGACCCATGTCCACCGAATGACGCCGACGAACCTGATGCATGGTGTTGCATGGACTATACAGTTAGCAACGGACCGTTGTCGACCTCATGACCCCGATCCATGGAGTTGTATGGAAACTATACAGTTAGAGACGGGCCCTTGTCCACCTAACGAAGAGCACCCCGATCCATGGAGTTGTATGGAAACCATACAGTTAGATGCAGAACAGAATGCTCATTCCGACCCCGGAGACGCGACGTCGGCGTGCATTCATCCCACCTTCGCCGTCCCCGTCCCAGTCACAGAGATATCCACCTGTCAGACAGTCACGGACATATCCACATGTGACGCAGTCCCGGACATACCCACATGTGCACATCCTGCGCCCGAAATCACACAACCACCAGGCTCCGGTAACGCAGTCACAGACACACACACATGTGATCATCCTCAGCCCGACATCACACAACACACACTCCCAAGCGACACCGTCACGCACATACCCACATGTGCTGATCCTAAGCCCGAAATCACACAACCACCAGGCTCCGGTAACGCAGTCACAGACACACACACATGTGCGGATCCTAAGCCCGACATCACACAACACACAGTCACAAACGACACAGTCACAGACACACCCACATGTGATCATCCTCAGCCCGACATCACAGACAGCCCCACATGCGACACAGTCACGCACATACCCACATGTGCGGATCCTAAGACCGACATCACACACCAGTTAGTCACAGACAACACAGTCACAGACACACCCCCACATGCACCTCCAAAGCCCGCAATCATACATCCACACACCAACTCCCCAGTCACAGACACACCCACATGTGAGGATCCTAAGCCCGACATCACACAACACACAGTCACAAACGACACAGTCACAGACACACCCACATGTGATCATCCTCAGCCCGAAATCACAGACATACCCACGCACGACATAGTGCCGGACATACCCACATGTGAGGATCCTAAGCCCGAAATCACAGACATACCCACACGTGACACAGTCACAGACAGACCCACACGTGACGCAATCACGGACATACCCACATGTGACGCAGTCACGGACATACCCACATGTGATGATCCGAAGCCCGACATCACACAACCACCAGCCACAGGCGCCACAGTCACAGACACACCAACACGTGACGCACTCACCGACACCGCCACGCGTGCGGCTCCTACACCCAGAATACCAGAGCACGTAGTTACAGGCGCCACAGTCACAGACATACCCACACGTGACGCAGTCACAGACACACCCACATGTGATCATCCTCAGCCCGACATCACAGACAGCCCCACATGCGACACCGTCACGGACACACCCACATCTGCTGCTCATGAGCCCGCAATTACACAACCACCAGGCTCCGGTAACGCAGTCACAGACACACCCACATGTGCTGCTCCTAAGCCCGCAATCACACAACACACAGTCACAAACGACACCGTCAAGCACACCACCACATGTGACACCGTCAAGCACACCACCACATGTGAGGATCCTAAGCCCGCAATCACAGACATACCCACATGTGTCAGCGTCACAGACACACCCATACGTGACACAGTCACGGACATACCCACATGTGAGGCAATCGCGCACATACCCAGATGTGATGCTCGTAAGCCCGCAATCACACAACACACAGTCACAAGCGACACTGTCACAGACACACCCACATGTGACACCGTCACAGACACACCCACATGTGATCATCCTCAGCCCGACATCACAGACAGCCCCACATGCGACACAGTCACGCACATACCCACATGTGAGGATCCTAAGCCCGAA